AAAAAAAATAAAAAATAAAACTAAGGACTATATAAGAAGTAGCCAGCTTGCTTTATTTATTTAATTAAGCTGAATTTGCGGTTTTGTTTTGTCGAACTCACTGATTTGTTGACTTTGAAAGAAAAAGCTCTCATTATGTTTATCTCTTAATGTATTTTCTTTCTTGCTAATTCGTAGATTAAGGGAAATATGAATTATACACTTGAAGGATTTAAGTTCTTTTTGTTGGAAGAAAACAAGTTTTGTCTACTCATTTTTTTTAAAAGTTTTTTTACGGGAATATTATGGGGTTTTATGTAGATTTTCCTTGTACCTCGATAATTAATGCATACAATGTTGATTTTCCATTATTGTCCCATAACAGGTACCCACCTTTCATCGCGCCGTCCAATCGGCAAAAGCAACAAATGATATTAAATGTAAGTCCTCGGCCTGCTATTTCACATATTTTCCCTCTAATTATTTCATAATAATTATCTCTCTTTTCTTTCTAGTAACTAAATGAAAATTTTAATTTCATGCAGGGGCAGTTCAGTTTTGATGAGAAAACCTGGAAAAACATATCTTCATCGGCAAAACAACTAATTTCCAGTCTCTTGAAAGTTGATCCTAACATGAGGCCTACTGCTCAAGAGGTTTTTTAATTTGCTCCTTTTTCTTAACAAATCCAATCCTTTTTTGTCCTATTTTATAATGAAACGATGAGAGTATATCGTAATGCACTGTTAATTATAATAAGGGTATTTAATAATCACAACTTCAATGTTATTTCTTAGTAGAAGCTGTGAAAATCTTACAACGACAACTACAACAACGTTCTAGGTATTGCTTATTTGACTGCAGTAGCGTATCGCAGGAATTTTAGTAAACGGTGTCACTATTTGCAGAAGAGAAGAAGACAAATAACATTAATTATCAATTTACGCAAATTATTTTTAAAAAATCACGCTTGCTTAATCATACCAAATTTTCTAACATATTATCTTATCTATGATGTAGATACTTGAACATCCATGGGTGACAGGAGATTTGGCAAAGCAAGAACAGATGGACGCCGAGATTGTTTCCCGTCTCCAAAGCTTCAACGCTCGGCGCAAGTTCAGGGCAGCAGCTATGGCCAGTGTCTTGAGCAGCAGCTTTTCCTTGCGAACTAAGAAATTGAAGAAATTGGTTGGTTCATATGACTTGAAGCCTGAAGAATTACAAAACCTTAGCCACAATTTCAAGAAAATGTAAGTACCAATTATCATGCTTGCTTTGTTTGACTAGAACGACGCAAAGATATTCTTAACATAACGTGATATTGTTTGTTTTTGTTCAATCCCGTACGATTTCCCCAAAAAGCCTCACGCCATTAAGAGTATCCAACTCCTTGTAAGTAATTTTTTTTCTTTCCAAGTGAAACTTTGTTCACACACATGACCCATCATCATTCATGGGTTTCGTTAATCACTCACATGATCTTGAGTATTTATAGTCAACGAAGCTCAAAGGCTATATATGCGTCTTTAAAGCGTTGGGTAAATGTTGTAAATACACAAGAGTCGGGCCCTCATGCCACACGCTGCCATCTCTATAGTCCGCATATTATTAACACGGAAATCAATTTTTAGACTAAAATGGTCCAAAGATATTCTTAACATGGTATTATATTGTCTGTTTTGGACCATTTTCCCAAAAGCCTCAAAACATGTAGCGTATCCAACTCCTTATATAAGTAGAATCTTTTGTTCACCCATATCCTACATGCTTATTCATCATTTGAGACTCCAACAAGTATCCCAATAATTACATATCAGATTTGGCCTATGAACACAGATGCAAAAATGGAGAAAATGCAACTTTACTGGAATTCGAAGAGGTCCTCAAAGCTATGGAAATGTCATCTTTAGTGCCTTTAGCTCCCAGAATATTTGATCTATTTGACAATAACCGTGATGGAACAGTAGACATGAGAGAAATAATTGGTGGCTTCTCAAGCCTCAAGTATTCCCAAGGGGATGACGCACTTCGTCTTTGTTTCCAGGTAAAATAGTAGTACAATTTAAACAAGACTTAAATATTTCTTTTGTTTGTTTAATCTTTTACACAATTTAGACTTTAATGTTGATACTTTTTGGTAATCAGATGTATGATACAGATCGATCAGGCTGCATTAGCAAGGAAGAAGTTGCGTCCATGTTGAGAGTAATACAGTTTCCCCTTTTTATTTATAGATATTTAATAATACTTTGTATTAATTATTTATTTGATAAATTAATATTTGTAGGCACTTCCTGAAGACTGCCTTCCAATTAATATAACAGAACCAGGAAAACTTGACGAGATATTTGATTTAATGGATGCAAACAGTGATGGTAAAGTTACTTTTGATGAGTTCAAAGCTGCTATGCAAAGAGATAGTTCCCTTCAAGATGTAGTCCTCTCTTCTCTTCGTCCCTCTTAATTAATTCCTTTATTGAATTTTTCCTCTTTTAATTTGTAATAACACGCTAATTCTATTAATATCTCTAACTTTCTATGACAATGATTTATTATTTTTATCACTACTCGTAAAAGATCCTTTAATTAATTCGGAAGCCTTTATGGTACGTATCCTTTTTTTTCCATTGTTTTTAGTTTATATCCTTAATTACAACTTCATAATCGTGTCGTCTTTCACAAATTGGAAGATCAAACTCCTGGAATTCTTGATGTGTCTTTCACTCTTTTGGCTTTATAGGGAGAAATTTTTTTGTTGCAAACAAACTCTTTTGCTTAAATTGTGGTGGCGGGTGTATTTTAACTCATAATTTTAAAATTGTAATGAGTTCAACAGAAAAAAATTAAAAAGTTGAATCGTTAAATTTAAATCTTGAATTCTCTTCTGGTTACAAGGTTTATCACGTTTGCTAAATTAGAAGCAAGGTCAAAATGAACGACCTTTATATTAACATGCAAAATGAACTAATATATTGATTTTAAGTTTTGAAATAATGTTTATTATTATCTAATTAGGCTTCATATAACATCATTAAGAGTACAACTATTAAGATGATTTATCGGGTTGATGCACATTTTGTTATTACAGAGTTACAGAGAGCAAGTGATGGAGCAAAATGACTTAGGCGAAAGTAATAGTGGGGGATAAAAAAATTACAAATATCGCTATGGAACTAATTATTAAAATTTCTAATTTTGTATATTACCTGTCCTAAACAAGGATTACTTATAAATTATATACATTCCACCTTAAAATGCTTCCAATCCATTGCCTTAAATTAAGGAATTATTTGCTTGAAAAAAGGCGGAACTGAAGGGAATAGTGGTGTTAACCACCTTTCCCTTCCCTGATCAACTATATTTTAAAAAAAGAAAAGAAAAGAAAGTAAACAGACGGGAGAGTACAAAATAAATAATACTTCTAAGCAAATGTCACCCTAATTGTTCTTTCTTTAAAATCTTTTTTGTAGACAAGCATATTGTCGAATTTTGAAAACAAAAGAAGAAAGAAAACTGTGCAATGATCGTGTAGCAATGTTAAGATGCAGACAAGTGAAGCTGGAAACATTTCAATAATTTTTCTAATGATTTTGACAAAAATCTCATCTCATTAGAATTTAGTTTGATATCTTCTGTCACTTAACCATAATACAAACATCATATTATGCTTCTCATAAAACAAAAATTGGTGGCAAATAGGCTAGAAAAGGAGGACCCTCTTAATTTACTAACAAAAGAAATCAACTGACATCTATAAGCTATGGCAAAAGTGGGCACAAGGTTAATAAGAAAAAGAAAGAAAAGAAAACTAAAACACAACCTATTCAGTGGGGACTTCTTTCATGACAACACAAGCCCCGGTTTATAAAAATTAATGCCTTTAATCAACACATCCTATTTCAAGAAAAGAATAATGCATGGTACAACATCATACAAATTAAAAATAAATTTCATACAAAATTTGATATATCTACAACAACATACATAATAAAAATATATTTCATACAACTAATTATACAATATACAACTTATTTACAACTTATCTATAACTTTCATACATCATTCTTACCGGTTAAATACAAATACAACATCATACAACTTAAATACAATTTTCATACAAATTTTATACAATATGTCTTTTGTATATTTTGTATATATTTTGTATCTGATTTGTATATATCTTATATGTGGTGTGTGCTTTTTCCTCTCTAAAATTCCAATCAAAACTTTCTCTCTTAATACAATTTTGATACATATCAACAACTTTATGTAAAAAGGATAGTATTGACAACTTAAATACAAATTTTATACAATATGTCTTTTGTATATTTTGTATATATTTTGTATCTGATTTGTATATATCTTATATGTGGTGTGTGCTTTTTCCTCTCTAAAATTCCAATCAAAACTTTCTCTCTTAATACAATTTTGATACATATCAACAACTTTATGTAAAAAGGATAGTATTGACAACTTAAATACAAATTTTATACAACGATTCATACATTATACAACTATTTTTCAACTTTCATACAACATTCAAATAATAAAAAATATACAACTATAACAGAATACAATTTACATACAATTATACTACAACTTTACTATAATTTCGTAAGTATATAGTATGTCATGTGTTCTTCTTCTTTTTCGAGTTTTAATTTGAAATTCAGCCAAAATCAAGTCTAATCTTCACCAAACACCCTCAAAATTGAGATATAAACTCCAAACAATATTCCCAATTATTTGCAACAACACCCAATCCAAACAAATAATGGTTTTTGAAAACCCAAATTCGAATTCAAAGTTTCAAAGCTTTTTAATGGTTGTCAATGGTGGAGAGTCAAACACCTTCAAAATTTATTGATTGGCAATTTCAATTTGAACACCAATTGTGCAACATGAAAGAAAATTGCTAAGTTAAAACTCTATAGTAAAATGATTGAAATCCATTGATGAATTCCATTAAAAATATATACAACATGAAAGGATAAAAATAGAGAACATCAGAGGAAGAAAAATTGGGGAAAGAACAGAGAATGAGAGATTGAAAGACAGAGAGAGGACGCAGGAGAGAGAGAGAGAGAGAGAGAGAGAGAGAGAGACGGGGAGAGAGAGAGGGAGAGAGAGCGCATGAGGGAGAGAGAATAAGGATGGGAGATAATTGGTTCCTTATTCAATTCCTAATATAAAGGGATACTCATTTAATTCCTAAAATGTATATAATTGGTAAATTATATATGTCTATGTAATTAAATTGAAACTTGAGTATGGAGAGCAATAAAATTTCAAATAGTGTATAGGAAGGTAAAAATCTCTTAAAATTTCAGTATAGCAAGAAGAGAATATATTTTGTTCAAACTTTCAATTGAGTAAATATTCATGGGCTTTGAGTTGAAAAAAGAAAACAAAATAATAATTGTTATAAATAGAATTGTATTTAAGATGAATGTCTATATTTTAGAGATATTTTAAGGTTTGTTACTTTGTGGCTAAGTCATTTTTTCCCTATAAATAGAGGGGTTCTATTCCATTGTAATTCATCCCAAATCAATAAAAATCATTTCTTTGTACTTTTCTCTGCAATACTCTTCTTCTTCTTTTATTATTTTATAACACGTTATCAGCACGAGACTCTAACCAATTGAGTAGAGGGCAGTTGTTTTAATTTATAGATTTACTATTAAATAGTTGTCTAATGTATGAGAATTTAAACCACCCATGGAATATATAGGCTTAATTCCGACAGCAGCTGAATCTGCAATTCCATGCTTATTAATCTCATTATGCTCAAGATCACTTATGTTACCGTAGTTCCAATGCTTATTGCACAACTCTCCCATTGCCTTGGAATGTCAATCTTAAATTTCGGAGGATGTTCATGAAGAAAATTACACTTTATCTCCATAAGGACACTCCTTCCCGTTATAAAACTTCTTGCAAATTTTCATCCTATATGTATTATTTTCTGATCATCTTTCTATTTCCCTACTACCCCTCTATCCTTTTCACGGACTAGTTCCTGCCAATTCAGAGGGACTCACGCAAATCTTCAATACCATAGCTTTGGGATACGTGCATGGTACTCATCTTGTACATAATATTGAGCATAATGATTGTCAGTTGTTCCATGAACTTTCTTCTGGATTTAAGGTAAGTATTTTACTTTATTTCTCTTTTAAATTCTTAAAATTCTATAATTTAATTTTAAATACAAGCAAAGACAATAAAATTTGATTATAACTCTAATGGAGTTTATAAGAAATTATGATCATCCAAAGTAATAAAATTTTTATGTCTTGCCATGATCAAATTCATGTACGAATGTGGGCACAAGAAGTGAAAACTCATCTCATTGACTAATTTGTTTCATTCTCATTCCCTTAAGAGAATGTGGTAGCAGTATGTGATAAGTCTGAAAGAAGACAAAATTATTACCGTAAATGTATCAGTGGATGTGGGCGTGGCAATAGATGAAATTATAATCGTCATCATTGTGGTAATGAGAACAATAAGAATTCTCAAAATAATTCTTCACTCTGTGAAAATAATGTTTGTTATCGATATGGCATGAGACATTATAAAGAACATATAGATGATTATGGTCCATTCATGATGTGAATGTGACAACATGTGATTTATGAATACATATTCATTCTTGGAAGAATATAAACGTACTAGTGGTTATGAACACACCACACTCACCTCTAAAAGGAGGTTTGAGAGGAAATAAGAAAATAATGTCATTATTATGGCATGAATAATCATTGGTCATGTACCTATTGCACACCAAAATATTTTGGCAATGTGATTATTAAAGGATAACAGTAATGCAAGAAACTGATCTTGCATATAATTTTGACCATGACCATAATGGTATAACTTTCTCTTTGAGAGAGATATTTACTATATGAATATTGATGAATATATGGTAGTACAAAATTAATTGAGAGATCTAGAAGAGCTAATTATTACTATTTTAAAGGAATACAATTGATTATTAATAAGGTATGTGTCGTAGTAAGTCTCAAAGAAACTTATTGCGTTTCTAAAGTATTCGCGAAAGCGATTGGTTATATTGAGACTATAAATAAAGAAAAAATTTAATATCTTCTATTACTACAACTTGTAGCAAGGTAATATGTATGTGAAAAGCTACCCGCTTTATTCTCCAGTTTGTATTATGCAAATAAACGAATGACACAATAAAGTAGAAGTTTATTGATATAAAAATCCATATCATAATAAACTTGGAGTTTATTGATAATTGCACGCGTCATTGTGTAAAACTGAAGTTTATCAATATTGATAATTTATTAAGTTGAGATAATTGATTTAGTAATGTTAATTTAAGTATGATGTAGAAAAATAAAAGAGAATCTACATGGATAAATATTAAAGAACTAGAAAGTTCTTTACGGATTCTTTTATGTTGTTTGTTCTCATTGATTAATAGATCAACTAAAATTGAGATTGAATCCCATGAATGCTGGAAATATCAAAGGTGAATATGGGTTCATTCACCTGCCATGTATACCACATAATATGCATCTATGAGATGGTT